ATGGAGTATACTTACATTTATTTCTGTTTAACAGGCCAGTTTGTTGTCAATAAGACTAACAATCTATTCAGCAGTCTTGGTATCGACCACGCTCACACAGAATAATGCCTCCGTCAAGGGAAAAGGGGGCATATCGGGTCTGACTCATGACCCATCTGCTTTGCGGGGCTGGACCGTCGGGGGACCTGAAATCACAAGAATACTTAATGAGTTTGAGAATGAGGAAGATGACGATGATACTGGAGACTTTGGCAGTCATCATGAACAAAAAGAATCTTACCAGATGAGGCTCTTACAGCACTGCATTGCTCCAAAGGATTCCTTTCATGAGTTTGATAATCCTTTTTCTCTAAATAAAGAAGAACTTATTGCACTTGACACGCGTGTTGCGATTTCAGCAGAAGGGGTAGCAGCTCTTGTTGGTGCTAAAACAAAAGGTTCAAAGTTATACACCGATTTTGTAAATGAAAGATTACTGGAAAGGACAAAGTCCTTATATGACCCCATTACTAAATGTAACACGAAAATATTTGCTGCTAAAAAGAAACCATCAAAGTGCACTGCTGTAGATATTCTGAAGTCAGAGGTGAATCTGTTTTCAAGATCATTCGTTGTCAGTATTGCTCGGAAATTAGATTTAGACAAATTCTTTGAATACGAAAATTTGTCCTATCCTCCGTCTTTGGCTGTCGGCGGAAAAATGAGGACTGGTGACAAAAACCAGTTAACTCTTATTTTAGAAACACTTGGACAAAATCCACAAGGTGAGCATAATTTAGGCAATACTTGATAGCATTTTAGAATACATATGTCTAATTTTTCTTTCTTAACTTTTAGGTGAAGTCCCCACCCAGGCAGATGCAGCGATTATTGATGGGGGATGTCTCGTTCATGCTGTGAAGCCGCGCCCTGACCAAAAAACTTTCACTGAGTATGTGAAACAACTCCTAGGTGTAATAAATTTTATGGTTTCGACCCTAAAATACAGAGAGTGGACATTGCTTGGGATAGGTATTTAAAGCACAGCCTTAAGGAAGCAACCCGTACCGATAGAGGGCAAGGCAAACGCCGTGTTGATTTACCAGCTAAAGGTATTATTTTTTTAAATGCCTTAGTTTAAAAAATAATAATCTCTAATGTTTTGTGTGCAATTTTTATGCATAACCCATTTTTCGGATAAACTACCACCTGACTGGGAAGATTATCTTCGTGATGATCAAAATAAAGTAGAACTCTTTCGTTACCTTTCTCAGGCTCTCCTTGAAAAAATGTGAAGGAATTCAAATGGTGACTAATGTTGATTCAAAAATAATATCCTCTGTGCCTGGTAATTCATCATTGCATGAGGCTTCTGCAGAAATGGAGGAGGCTGATGGGAGAGTTATTCTGCACCAAGTTGGTGCCTTTCTTTGTCTTTGTGGTGACGCGTTTTGCTGTAACTAATGAGTTACATTTCATTCATTCAAATTTTATGCCCAGCTGTCTTGGCATTTTGACGCCAACCACGAAAGCGAGTGTCCACTACCCTTTCATTTTGCAACCCTCTGTTGATGCTGGCAAATTTGGTGCCAGCTATCTATTTGCTGTCGCACGGTGCACTGCATCGGCAAAGTTTTAGCCTTACCATACGAGTGCGTGCACAGTCCAACTGATTTACCTGAAAATAAGCGATAAAAAGTACAACCCTGCATCCTGCATGCTTAGTCGAAGCGATGGGCCGTAGGCCCGTATCTTTGTGTACATATTGCCACTACCCGATTCGGGTGTCAGCGCCGGTGGCCAAGGTAGATGTATGCCAGGCGCGTCGCAGCGTAACAGTGTTTCGTGAAATATCGCGAAGCCTGTTACGCGAGACGTGGTCTGGCGTACATCTACCTTGTTAGAAGTACAACATGTCCAGGCTTGCTCGCCGCGCCACCGCCGACCGCCGCACAGTGGTCGGAAATGCCAGTTTAGGCCGCCAAAAGTCAGAAATCTCAAGTTGGTCTCATCGAGTTCGGGTTATTAAACGGACCCGTTGATGTCAGACAGTTGAGGCGCGCGGGGGGGACGGCGTCATGGTTCAACACCACCTGTTGAGCAGCTCCACACCCACGCCCGGGTACCAGAGCAACAATGGACACCTTGCTCTCTGAGAAGTCAGCCCCCCGCGCGCGCTGCCCAGCGCTCATGCCAAAAATTGTGTTCAATTATAAAAGTAATGATTATTATGCTAATGCAAAAAAATATCACGCAAAAAGACACATCAAGAACAAGAACAAAGAAGCGAGCAGGCATGATATGCCTACATGGCGTCCAAAAGCAGATTGTACAAGTGAGAGAGCGCTATGACTTGGCGCAAACCTCTATATTCAAAAAATATTACACGAAACTATAATATAGAAAATTTTCTAAACTAAGGGTCCGTTTACGGTTAACAAGAATTGTTAACGTTTTTTTCTATCGATTAAGAAATGTTTAAAAGTCCCCCACGCAAAAGTGGTCTCATATTGGTCGAGTGGTTCCGGAGTTATCGCCTGTCAAAGATGACCCTCTCTCTCGGGGCGCTCTAACATGATTTGAATGTCACAATGTGAGAGGCCACCGTGTCCGTATGTGAAGCAGGGAGCGTATACCTCGGCTTCCATCTAATGCACCATGGTTGAAATAGTCCTATCCAGTGATGCTCCTCCCTCCGAACTTCCCCACGTGTGTCAGACGGTCAATATTTTCACACTTAACTTTACTTGTAGTTTTCACACCTTTGATAGGCGAGTACAAATTTGGTCCAACTTTGTCCAAAACGAGGACAGCATAAAAATGTTCTCCATAGGTGCCCACAACATCCCGTAATGGTTTTAGCTGCCACCAGGTGCCACCCCGGGCGTCAATGAAAGTAAAAGGTAGTAAAACTAAGGAACATTTCGTACTCGACGCCCCCATGTTTCCTGCATGTTTACCCCGTTCTCCTTCACCCACCCGGCTTGCCCTGTTCCCTGTTCCGGCGGTGGTCGTGACGTACGGACAGCCCTAGCGTAGCGCGTCAACGTCCGACTACCAGTGTTTGTGCATGGTTTGTGTTAATGAATTGTTTTCATACTTAAAATGAAATACGTGGTGATCTACGAGAAATGGCGTTTAATGAGCTCTTTACCGCAACGAAAACAAGTACCTGCCATTCTAGGAGAACTGAAATTGTAAGTACGAAGTCAAAACAACTTGTTTACATCGCAAACTCGGTAATATAGGTATAAATGCTCACATGCGCAAGGAACATTTTGGCATCCACGCATCAGCGCGGGTGATCACAAAATAGTGTGGCACTACCTATCGTTATCATGACTCGCTGCGCTGCGGCTATGTAGTGGTGCTGTAATGTCTCGCGTAACAGGCTTCGCTACACCCAGACGCGTTTTTTAATAAATCAATCTAAATCCTCTAAAAATCAGAAAAAATACCAAAGATTCAACCAAAAAAAATATCAGAAAAATCAATCAAATCAGAAAAAATCCACAAAAAAATCAGGACAGAAACAGAAAAAAAATTAAGAAACCCCCCCAAAAAAATTTGGAAAAAAGTCGTAAGGGACCGTCTATAAATGTTAATGACATGTAAAACTAATTTAAGGACGACCCCCTTACCAAAAGTATCGTCAGATTCGTAATCAGCGGTATCAAAACCCCCCGTACACCAGTTTTTACGTCAGTGGGGGATGAGGATCTATTTTGGCGGCCTAATCAGGCTCCTCCAGCTGCGTCCAGATACGCGGGTGCATTGGGTGCCTTGGGTGTCTGTGTCTGCTAGTATGAGAAGAAAAACGTGCGAGTCGAATTGGTCTGCGAATAGTCCAGTAGCGAGCCCTATAT